CAAAGTTATTTGAAGCATGGAGCGGGGCCTCTCCCTAACCCACCTAAAAAGCAGCAGCCATTCATTCTCCAGGAGCACCTAACCAAGCAACATAAAAGGTCTGACTGCCTGCCTCTTGCTACTGAGGAGTGTCCTCTAAGAACTTGGCCAGTGTCCACCAGAGCCTGCTGTTCAGAGTCCTTCAGGTTAGTGCTTGCCTTGTCAGGGGCTCTGATGTCATACCACTTCCTGCAGTATCTTTGATGTCGTCCATAATCTCAGACCACTCAGCTACTCCTGGATCCACCAACAGCATTCAGGGACCCAAAAACCTGGCTCTACTATAAGGGTCCTAACACAGCCTGCTCTTTTCTCACCAGGTCCCACTGAAAGTCAGTTTATGAGTTCCTCACATTAAAATAAACAAGATAAAAATAGCAGCCACATATATAGCTCAAAACACCACACTCTTTGGCTCCCCAGAGAGAAGAAGGCTACTGCTAAAAAGAATAAAGACAGGAGTCAAGAAAAGGGTAGTTAGAAAGGATGCAGGGAGTCTGGACCCCTTTGCTGGGTTGTCAAGAAGCGGACCTGAATTTCCTGGGTAGCTGCCTCTGTGGGAGAGTGACAAGATGCCAGTGGGAACCTCCGGGTGACATAAGTCCTAAGCGCAGCCCTGGTATGGTCTGCCAAGGAGGAGAGGTCCAAGTCCAGCTAGCCCTCCAGCTGGATGGGATCTACGGGACAGAGTCTGGCTTTGAAATGACACTTGAAGAAACCCACTGATACAGGTGAGAAGAGAATGTGCCCCCAAGAAATAGAAGCACAGGGTGTCAAGGTCTGGGGAAGACGGAACTGGCTTAAGGCATGTGCATGACCAGGACAGACCTGAGCTTTTGTCCAGCTGTGGGAAACCACCTATATCCAGCTTCACTGAAAGAAAGTGGGGGTCCAGAAAAATGGTAGAAGCCATGGGCTAAATCCCTGCCAAATGCCACTAATACCCTCTTCTGTTCCCCTACTGCCACTACCACCAAAAAAAAAAAAAAAAAAATTAGCTTATTTCCATTTCAGCCCAGGGAATAGAAATGTAAACCCGAGTGGAAAGTGGTAACATGGGTACGAGTGCCTGTGAAATCTCAGGCTGGATTGGAGCTTAACATAACAAACTAGATCTTCCTATCATTCTGACACATACCAAACCTCAAGGGATCCTGGAACCAACCTGGCATTAGGGATCTGAAAACTACAGGTAACACAGGGTCCAGGTCTAGACAAAGGCGGAGGGGAAGGTGAATTTCACCAAGGTATTTATCCCAAGGCAGGCGCCTTGCTGTTAAGACTTCCCGGCCAGCCGGGTGGGGATCCACAAAGGATGCTTGCTTAGTCAACGCCAGAGAGAGTAGGCCAACCCGCAAACCACCGCAGATCACACCTGGAAGTGTGGCCCACCAGTTCTCTGTTCTCTTACATGAGAGAGAACTTTCAGGAAAGCCTGAAGCCAAAGCACAACATGTGTTTTATAAGGAGGGCCGAACAAAAAGAGCCATCTGGCAGAGCTGTCTTCAGGTCTCACTCCTTCCTCATTCTTCTCTTTCCAAGGGGAGAGAATGGGGGTGCAGGACAAGTTCTGGGACAGCACAGCCTAACAATGAATCCTCGGAATCACTGAATCCAGCACAGGGAAGCTCCGCTGTTCCCAGGGGTGCAGGTCCTCCCCGCAGACTCAAGCGACGGGAAGATGCGAGTTCCAGATTGCATGGTGGCAACAGATGGGGGAAGGAACAAACCAATACAACTGATCTCGTCCAGGCCCCATAGTGGGGCCAAAGCTGGCCCTTTTTTGTTTCTGCACATTGATGCCCTGGGGAGTACGGAGATGATCTTTAAGGATGAGCTAGATACCATGAGGCCAGGATCCATCTCCACCAACATACAGAACATCAGAAGACCTGGTGGGTCCCTCACTTTGTGAACAGGCAGAAATTTCAAACTCCCCCCCAAATATATATACATATATATTATATATATGTATATGTATATGTATATGTATGTGAGAGTGTGTGTGCATATATATATATACACACATATATATGTATATATATGCACACATATATATAAATAAGCCTTGAATGGCAAATCTGAAACTTTTTCCTTTTAAATAATAATAATAGCTGTTACTGAATTTAAAAATCACAAACCAGCTGTCCTGGGCTTATGAACTGCGTGAGTGACTCTCCGGAGTCCCCATGGTCCTCAGTGTAAGCTATCAGTCAGTGCCCTGTATAGGGAACCCCAGTGTCCTCAGACCAGGGTTCCAGGCCCAGTGTGGCCGACTTTAAGAGAAAGAAGGCTGTTTCCTCTCCACTCTTCCTGCCACCTTCCAAGCAGAGGGCGTGGGCCACCCACCCAGTGGACGTCCCTGAGGTCCTTCAATGTCTAAGAACCTTAGGAGCCATCTCCCCCTCTCTGCTCATCCTCTCCCCCAAAACTTGCAATGCCCCTAGATGAACTTGAAGCACTTGGTCTTGTCGTGGGGCAAGCGGGTTTTGAAGAGCACAGAGTCCACCCTGAATTGAGTGTACAGCAGGGGCATATAGCCATACACCTTGACAAAAAAGTTGATACATTTGTGCCGTTCATGAAAGTGGGAATCATCATGTGACAGGGCCTGAGGGCATCCCGGGCATCGGAAAGTCCACCGAGAGGTCACCTGGGCATAGGGAAGAAAAAGCACACAGAGTGAGAATCGCAGGCTAACATGGCAGAAAACGTGCAGCTTAACCAATCTGATGCTTCTAATTTCCCAGGGAAGGCAGGGACCCTGGGTGGCCATGTTAACCCACAGAGCAAGTCAGGAGCCACAGCCCATGCTCTCTTCCTGTCACATATGTATATATCATTGGAAAGTGTGCTCCTTCCGAACAACCTGAACTGTAGATACCAAGAGCCTTATAATGTATAGTATTACTTGTCTCAGTAATTCCACCTCTAATATCTATCTTGGTTGCACAGCAAGATGTAGATATGAGCTGGTTCATTTCATCAATGTTTTTAATAGCAAAATACTGGAAAAGTATGCATCAAAAGGGTACTATTTAAATAATTATAAAATACTATACATTCATTTAAGAAGAGGCTTGGGGTGGGGGGGGCCCTGGATGGCTCAGTTAGTGAAGCGTCAGACTTCAGCTCAGGTCATGATCTCCCAGCACATGTGAGTTTGTGCCCCACAGAGCGCTCTGTGCTGACAGCTCAGAGCCTGGAGCCTGCTATCAATTCTGTGTCTCCCTCTCTCTCTCTCTCTGCCTCTCCCCTGCTCCCACTCTGTCTCTCTCTCTGTCTCTCTGAAAAATAAACATTTAATTTTTTTTAATGTTTATTTATTTATTTCTAGGAGAGAGAGAGACAGCGTGAGCAGGGGAGGGTCAGAGAGAGAGGGAGTCACAGATTGAAACAGGCTCCAGGCTCTGAGCTGGCAGTCAGCACAGAGCCCGACGCGGGGCTCGAACCCACGAACCGCGAGATCGTGACCTAAGCAAAAGTCGGACGCTTAACCGACTAAGCCACCCAGCTGCCCCAAAAATAAACATTTAAAAAAATGTCTGGAAGAAAATAGGTTTAGGAAAATTATATTTAAAGGCATTTTTGGAAAAGTGGTTATACAGCAGTAGTTATGATGATGCCAATGAAATTTCCAGCAATTAGAAAAGCATGATGAATAATGTAACAGCCTCATGATCAGCAATGCGGAAGACCAAATAACATAAAAACCCCTTTGGCACAGAGTACCTGAAAATTTAGGATGAAATATATACACCATCTCTTTAAATGTATAGCCAAGCTTGTAATGAAGAAAGGAGATGAACTGTCAGGAAAGAAGTGAAGTCCTCAGAGGCCAAAATAATGAAAGAATCTGAATCCAATGAGATAGCCAGGAGCTTTGGTTTTTAACAGGCTGGGGAGGCAAGAGCTACCAAACCTTACTGGAGACTTTTTAAAACACCAGGACCCAATGGAAGGCTGCATGGGCTGGAGGCAGCTCCACAGAAAGCTGTTTTCTTCCCAGTCTTAGCTTTAAGTGAAGAGGAAACATCACCTGTGAGAATATATAACCACACGCTGGCCCTCACACACCTGAGTTTATGTTACCTTTGTGTCCTGAAAAGCCCCAAGATGCTAATTTAGCTTCAGTGGGTCTCAAGTAGGTATTGACCCAACGTACATGGAAGAAACAAATGCAAATCCTCTCAGGTATAAATTCTGGCCTCCTATAAATGCCGTTAAGTAAAATACCAAAGACTATGATTTCACAATCAAAAGTCACAAAAAGAGGGGGTGGGGGTGGGAATGAGCCAGATGTGGGGAAATCTGCAGAAACAAACAACAGAATTAGACTCCAAAACCCTGCAAAATCATAAACCCCAAAACCCTGCAAAATTGGAGGATTATCAGATAGTGACTAGGACAATAAATACATGTGCAAGGAAATTTTGAAAGATTACTTAAGATTTGGTAAAGAAAAAAGGGACTATCAAAACAGTCCTAGAGGCTATGGAAAAAACCCAAACAGAATAGGAATGAAAAGCATACTGAATTCAATGTGAATTGAATGGGTGTGAAGAGAAGATCAGTGATGAAGAGTATACTAAAATTATTACCCAGAATAGAAAATATTGACTAAAAGCCTTAAAAAATACAAAAGCAAGATTAAGAGACATGGAGAGGAGATATTGTATGACTCCATTTGTATGAAGTTCAAAAAGGGCAAAACTGATCCTACAACAGAAAAAAGACACTAACTCGCTGTCATTCTCTGGCTGAACTCTCTGGCCTGCTTGGAGCTGCTCCCGCCTATCCTGCCTACCCCCTGCCTGCAGGAGGGATCTGGGCCTTTCTTTGCCCCTGCCCTCCCTGGGGGGAGCATGACCAAGGAACACAGAGAAAGATGCTCAACCTCCATAAAAATCAGACAATGGGATACAATTTATACCTATCAAATAGCAAAAATGAAAGTATAACAGTACCAAATGTTAGTAAAGATGTGCAGAAACCACATTGTACAGTGCGGGTAAGAATATCCATTGGTACATCTGTTTTGATTAGCAGTAATCATGCCTCAGATAAACCTCATTGGCTACAATACTGTCACTGCGCAAAGTTTGGTACATCTACTTTGAAGAAAGTTGGGCATTATCAAGTATAACTGAAGGTACATGTAGTCATGACCCAGCAGGAGAGGAATGTACCCAGGGAGATACACGACATCTGCTCTATTATAATGCTTTGTTTCTTTTATTAAAAAAAGGAAGATATATAAGCTGAAACAAATAGGGCAAAATGTCATTATCTGGCAAAACTCCTGGGTATGCATATTATATTCTTCCCTTTTTTAAAAACATTTCATTCATATATTGTAAACCAGTAGTAGCAAGTGTTTATATAGAAGCACTTTACTTATATAAGTATAGACATATCTGATTCTCTGCCTTTAATAGGCCCAACAGTTCTTTGCTCCTTTTCATATGAGTGACAAAAACACAAGCCTCTAGAAGGACTAAATTAACAGCATCCCAGCCAAGGGAGCCCCAGTGACACCTTACATGCTTACCACTCTGATTTTTAGTTCCCGCTTCCTTTCTGGCTTATAATATGCCCAACTATACAGTGGAAAAGAAAGTTTGTTACATAAACACTAAAAACATGTTATTTTTAGGTTACCTAGTCCACAATACTGCCAGAACCAGAAAATTTACTGTCAACTTTTTAAAAAGCAGACTACAAAAAAAGGTACATATTTTTAAAAAATAAAAATAAAAAGGCTACCACCACAAAGAACCAAAAGAAACATGCCAAAAGGCTTGAGTAATTTTTCTTTCTTTCTGAACAAATCTTTTACCAAATAATTTAAAAATTATTATTACTATTATAAATTGAGGGAAGAAATTAAACTTAAATAGCTCATCCCATAATTTTTAGCTAACAAGTAAACATCACATATAGCCAATCATAGCTGTCAGCATCCAGGTCTCCAGAGTTAAACCATGTAAGGAGTGGTCAGGGCTCTGAGGGGCTGCTCATCACACAGCCAAAAGTCTGAGGGCATCAGGACTTCCACAGAGGTGGTCCTGTGAAGGAGCCCACCAGGCCCCCCCACTTCTCCAGTTCTCACAGGATCCTTGTGGTGTACAGAGAGCAGTGAGTTACCACTTTTCCCCTGCCCTCACTGAAATAGGAGATGGGCATCAAGAATTCGTGAAGAGGGGCACCTGGTTGTTTAAGCATCTGACTTGCATTCAGGTCATGATCCTGTGGTTCGTGATTTCGAGCCCCATGTCAGGCTCTGCACTGACAGCTCAGAGCCTGGAGCCTGCTTCGGATTCTCTGTCTCCCTTTCTCTCTGCCCCTCCTCCACTTGTGCTCTGTCTCTCCTTCTCTCAAAAATAAACATTAAAATTTTAAAAAAGGGGGATTCATCAAGAGAAGGATATTAACAGCATCTATGTCCAGTATTCTACTCTGTTTTCCCTATACCTGAAAATCTTCCTCCTCATCCCAGATACCAGCATCCAACTACAGAGAAGCCCAACCTTGCCTTGCAAATAATCCCATCTGACCCAAAAGGTATTTTATGCTGTTTTCACTAAAGCAGTCATTTCTAATCATGTGCCCCACCAGTTAAAAAAAAAAAAAAAAAAAAAAAAATTGAGACTGCAACCCCAATGTACTTATAAAAAACATTTATATGTATTTGGGGATATGTATTTATATATTATAAAACATGGTATTATGTAACAAAACAAAGGAATTTAGAAACATGAAGCAACAGCTGTACTATAAAACGAAGTCTGAACTTTTAACATTTAACCAATACTACAGATTATATTTTATGTGGGAATGTTCCAGGTAACCCAGTCTAAGAGAAGTATTAGTATCAGGCATAGTAACAGAAAGGAAAACCCTTCAATAGATGGTGAGACTCTTATTACCAGAGAATTAAGATACATACTTATGCTTCCTCTCTCTACTTCCTTATCACTTTCTACTTCCTTCTCAATGCTTGTTGATCTTTTAAATTTTTTTTTTTTTACTGTTTATTTTTGAGAGAGAGTGTGTGAAATAGGGGAGATGCAGAGAGACACGGAGACACAGAATCCCAAGTAGGTTCCTGCTGTCAGTGCAGAGCCCCACTTGGGGCTTGAACTCACGAACCATGAAATTATGACCTGAGTCAAAGTCAAGACACTTAACCAACTGCACCACCAACTGCATCCTTTATGTCCTTTATTTTCAATGAAGCTTATTTACATTCTAGATCTTTCTCCTCCTCGAATAATAGCAATACATTATTCAAAGCAATAATATGAAACTAACTCCCTGTTTTTTATTTAGTCAATATTGTTAAAATATTAACATTTTATTTTTTTATTATTATTCTACTTTTCGGGAGGGAGAGCACAAGCAGAGGAAAGGGGTAGGGATGGGGGGGGGGAGAGAGGCAGAGAGAGGCTCTCAAGCTGGCTTCACACTCAGCACAGAGCCTGACAGCCTGATGAGAAGCTGGATATCATGACCCTGGAATCATGACCTGAGCCAAAAAAAGTCAGACCCTCAACCAACTGAGTCACCCAGGAGCACCTACGATATTAACATTTTTGAAAGAACACTGCTAATCATATAAAACAGTCATATGTTCTTAATCATAACAAGGGAGAGAATATAGTTTTATAGTGAAAACCTGAAGTAAAGAAAAAAAAGAATTACTATTTTAGAACATAAAATAGTACATAGACCCAATACTATTAAAATTAGGTAAATTAATTCAAACACTTAGCTCAAACTGGTTCTACACTATGAAGTAAATAACTGGACTCACAATTTGAAGGAATTAACTAGAAATTTGAAGACATTTTTAATTTATTGAGCTTTTGATTTTAAAAAGTCATCCTAATCTTGAACTCTTCTTATATTCCCATAGGATTAAGAAAATTCACAGAGAATACTTATTTTTCAAGGTTTTACTTGATAAGGATCACTTGTTTACCAAGTGCAAATTATTTTCTGTCTCACTCTCTACACTGAAGAGATGGTTTGGCTCATGAAACACCAACCTGATAATATGGCAGACAAACACACTTTAATAAGGATGAAAAATTCATCATGTCTGTGAGCGCTTTCAGGTGACTGATGCTATTATTAGGTACCTAATCACTCAGATACTTTAAACTTTCATGGATAATGTCTTCTGATCTACTAGGGAAGTATAAATAGAAGCATACATCTTGAATGAAGTTTAGTCCCTGGTCACATAAGAAAGGATAAGGAAAGAAAAGAAAATTGCACTGATCATTAATTTCTAAGACCCATTGTCTCTCTACCTTAAAGTTTATAAGGAAGTACGCTTTTCATCTGTTTAACATCACATAAAATGAAAACAAATATTTTCATTTAATATTTAATTAGTTTAATATCTATCACTGCACCTAGGAAACACACACTTTTATATAAATAATTGTAATGGCTATTATTCACAGTTTAAGAAAACTTTTGGTGCACTGTTTTGCTAATTATTTTTCTGTTGTGAGGCTTTAGGAAAAGGCCCAGCAATAGCAAAAAACTATGGGGTCATCAGGAGCTAAGTTCTAATGCTGAGCCATACTTGGGAAAAGGTTTGATTAGGTATAAATGAATGCATAAGGCCCCCAATTGCTTTTCTCTATCTCCTTTTACACTATGTTGCATGGACCCAAGGTCCTCTGTTTACCACTCTGCTACCACTACAGATATGACTGGAGTATCATTAGCATAAGCTGGTGATTACTTCGTCTATAACTTACCTTCAAAATATAAGAAGAATAAAATATCCACCCAATTATTATTAACTCATAGCACTAATGATATACATGAAAGTAAACTTATTATTTTATAAAATTAAATAATATGCCTTTTTAACAATAAGATCTTAATTAATTACTTAATTAGCTTTTTAACCTCAAGGAGAGCAGGTGTGAATCCAGAACATAAATACTGATAGAACAGTCGTAAATACTTTAGTTGGAACTGACAAACAGATTCTCAGGTATCAACTGTTGCAAGGTCCTTACCAGGCCTACCCTCATCCCTACAAGAAGAGCTTTCACTTGTCTGAACCTGCAATGAGGACATAAAAGGTGATGTAACTGGTCTCTCTGTGCATGGAGTATGACGTTACTGTATTCTGGTCAAATCTATTCACTAACTCAAAGACAAAACTTTCTAGAATTCAGAGGGCACTGATGGTTTGTTTTTGAGTAAATGTCTTTCATAGTATTACTTACGTGCCAAGCACTATTCTTAGAGCTTTACGTATATTAACACAGAAACCTTAAATTTTTTGTGCTATGGATCTATAGAAAAGTTAATAATTACCATAATTTTAAAGCAGTGGTGAACATAAATAATACTTTAAGATGTAGCAACAAATGTAATGTGATATGAAAATATCCATCAGTTGTATTGGTGACAGATCAGTTACTGTAAACACTCAGGAACTGTAGCAAGTTTGATACCCGATGGAAATACAAATTCCAGTTAGAGATTAGTGAAAATTAAAGATATAACATTTTCCCCATCCAAGTTCCAAACCCTCTGAGTTCTGTCCATTTACACCTTAGTGGTGAAGAGCCCCTGTATGAACAACTCACTTAACCCTGCGACAACTGCAGATGAGGGCACTGAGGTATGGTTCATCACCCACTGTACTACTGCAAAATCAATGAATTAAGTACGCATGCACCCCCAGTTCCATATGTGCTGGGACCCTCACCTTGATGGGGGGTTTCCGGGTGATGTGGGAGACAAGGAAGTTCATGGCGATGTCCTCACAGTTGATGTATTCATCCACCATATCTCGGATGGCCTGGGGCATCACGTAAGAATACAGGTAGGCATAATACTGTCAGGGATAGAAAAGAATTACTTTCAGACTTTCAGCAAAATATACATGGATCTAGGGGCTGCTAGGAAGTGTAGGGGGCGTGGGGAGGGCTGGGTGTGACATTCATTAGTGGAATCACTACTGGCATTTATTGAGGGAGCTGGGGCCAAGGATGCTAAACATCCTACAAGGCAGATCTTCTGCAATAATAAAGAATTATCCATCAAAATTGCCATTATCACCCCCT